GATTCTATGATTCAATGATTCTATGATTATGTGACATGAACAGTGGTGTGCCAGAGAGCAGTGTAAATTCCATCATTACGGTCTCATCTCTGAAAGGGGTCTGATGTTGCATTGCACCCACTGGTAAGAGTATTAAGCCAAGGATATCAAGACTGTTTGAAATAAGAGGCAGCACATAGCCAACAGGGAGATGATTTACCTCAGACACAAAAAAAGAGAGATGTTCTCATGGCTTAGGTATGGTCAGCTGGACTACGGCAGATTTAACTTGCGCTACAGTAAGATATTATTGCACTTCTTTACTGTCCCCTCTTGCCTTTCTGCTGGGAATACTGCCTTCTGCAGAACAGTCATCAAAAGGTATGTGTGTTACCTCCATCACTTCAGTGTAAAGTGCAGCATTTCAGATTAAATCATTGTTCATAAGCAGAGAATGTATATCTTTACATCTACCAACTCTAACGTACAGGCGGTAATTTCTATCAGAGAAGGCAGACAGTCTTGGAGAAGAGCAGCCTCCCAGGTGCAAAACCATTCCCCTATCTGAAAACTACATTTAACCCACGTATTTATAGCATTCGGGAGAAGTTTATGCCACTTTTCTGGCATGTAAAGCCATTTAGTGACTAGTAGATATAGAAATGAAGACATTATAATTATTTATATTATTTAATTATTTTGAAAAAGAAAACATTCATTATAAGGCTTCTTTCAAAAAGCACATATACATCTAAGTTTTTTTAAAATGATGTGGTTTTTATATAGGTGAAGTTGATATAAAGTTGAAATAGTGCAATTTTAAAACAAAAGTTAGTGCAGGAATCAAACTACAACAACAACAAAAAAACAAAACAGAAGTTGTAGATTTTTTTTTTTTTTTGTGGAAATACATTACTGCCTGGGTTCAAAGGAAAGCATACAGATCAGTTTTCAAAAGCACCAAAGTGCACCAAACTGCTTTTGAAAGATGTACAACCTCCAGTTAGCTCTCAGTGAGATTAAGATTTTATTTTGGGAGTGAAACTAGGATGCTTTTGAAAATAACATATCTAATCTTAGTGTAGGATTTGGTTTTGATGTCAGGTGACGATGTCTAACAAGCTGCTATCAGTGAAAGAGATACTATCAAATAAAAAAGTGCATTTCCTTCGTTAATGTTATAAGTAACAGCAAGGAAAATAATCGGAGAAATATTTTCTTCTCATGTACATTTAAGAGCACTTTATAACTTATTTATAGAAGTGGATAACATCCCATTGTTCAGTCTTTCAAACAGCAACATGAAAGGCTGGTGGCTTTAAAATGGAAAAATATGGGTGCTAAAGCATTAGTATTATCCAGGAAACCGGGAAAATCTTCAGTTTGAAGTGAAATAATTTCTAATGCATTTTATGAAAGTAATTGGTTTTAATTAATGCTATCCTTTTAAACTAAGAGGGAAGCCCTTGCCTGTTGCCCTCAATTTAATGCTGAGATAAAGGAATAGCTGATGCTTCTTATTAGGGTAGCAAAAAAATAAAAATGCAAAAACTCCTAAGGTAAACTGGCCACACTGAAGACCATAAAGATTTTCTCTTTGCACAGAGGCATCACATCAGCTTGAGAAAAACAAACAGAACAAAGGCAGGAAACAGAAATAGCTAGACCTTGGTAATGAGCTGTAGACAAGAGAGGAAAGATGATAAATACGAATTAGCAGGTATACTTGTGCAGTGAGTAATGATTATTTTTCTGTGCCTGAGGTTTTATCTTTCTTTCTTTCTTTCTTTCTTCCCAAAGATCACTAAGACAAGGGCAGTAGGGGAGGTAGGGGGTGTAGGATGTGTGCATGTCTGTGTCTGGTTTTTCTCACACACAGATGCGCGCACACACACACTCAAAGTCTTTCCATTGGCTTTTAATTTTAGTAACTCATTTAACCCAGCTGGAAGAGAATCTACAACTTCTTGCTTTTAACATTATAAATATTCCAAAGGTTATAAAATCTATTGTAAAAATGTACATTCAGTGGTTTTATGAGGCACAGGACCTGCTAATGTATTTTCAGGGAAGCTCACATGTACTCTGTTCTGTCCGCTGTTGGACAATGGTGGAGAATCCAGGGGCTCACGCTTGATTGCTTGAACCAAGCAGGGGTTTTTAAATTCACACGGCATTTTAAACACCTCGTTATTCTGCTCTTTCTCCTCCCCTGGGCTGGGGCTGTAGAAGTGGTCATAGCACGCCGTGTGTGGCAGATCAGGCATGCTTTCCAAACACCCAGAGGAGTTCTGAGGGCAAAATGGGGCCACCTCCTTGCTACGTGAACCCTTGCAAGATCTGTTCAGGTTTAGGTTGTTGGGATGATTTGCTACGATGCATTGCCAATTATGAGGCGTGTAAAGGCAGTGCCTTGGCTTCTGACAAGGTGAGGTTGGCTCACAGAGGTCCGGTTCTGTTTTGAGGTGCACTCTATTGGGGTAGCTAAACACCTGCTTTCTCACCGAGCCGTTCTCATCCAGCCAGGCTCGGTTTTGCGACGTCAGGTAGTTATCGGCAATATTTTCAGAATCGGAATCGTATTCCGTTTTGATAGGCATCTCCAAGGGAAAGGCCGCGTCATAGAGAGACTCTGAGGATATTAACGGTCTCTGCAGTTTCAGATGGTTTGTCGCATAGTTCTCCGCATAACGCTGTTGTACGCCCGAGTAAGACTGGCAGCTTTCTGCACTCCCCCAGTGAGAAGGGCAAGTTGATGCTAAATTTAAGAAACTTTGGTCTCTGTTGTAGAATGATCCAGCTCTCCTGTTTGAACACGTGTTCATTCGCTGGCTCATAGAACAAGAGCTTGAGTTTCTTAAAGTCCAGCTACTGTTTGTGGTGCAGTTGTTTTGAACACCTAAAACTGATGTGTTAGAACTGAGAGGTTCCTCTTGCATAAAACACTCACCGTTTGTATGAGGCTCAAACTTCACTTTTACATTATCTTGTTCGTTTTTTACTGCTGTCCAGTTAAGATGCTTCCACTGGCCCAGAGTTTCAATGGCACTGTTATAGGAAAGTCCCTCCAGGTTTCCTTTCAAACTGGAAAAACTGCTTGGTATCTTCAGTTGTTCATCTTCTTCCCTTTCAATACAGTAGAAAAAAATCAGTCAATCAGAGGTTTCTAAATGGATGTTTTCTGGGATACAAACGGAGTGGCTCAACATACATTACAAGCGATACTTTGTCCTTAAATGGGACTCTCATGCTCTTGTCCATATAACATTTGCATTTGTTCGAGAGAAAAAAAGAGTGTGCATGCATCTGGGTGTCAATGTGTATGCACAGCTACCTTTCTGTGGCACTGTTTGATTTAAATTCTGACATGCATTTACTCTTTCATTTCAGGCACACAGTTCACAAAGACCTTAAATATTGTAGTTCAGTATGGTAACTACCTTACACTTTTGTTCTTCCCTTAAAATACATCTAAATAATATTTGTGTGCAGAAAAATCTAGAGAGAAAATGCAAAGAGTATCTTAAATGAGATATATTTTGTTAACAAGGAATTATTTGGATGCATAAGAACCTTCTGATCAAAGTGATTTGAGAGAGAACCATGGAGATCTTACATTTTGAGAATGCAGAGTTAGCTGAGAGGAAATAAAATGCCTGAATTAAGTGTCCAGAATAGTCACAGATGTTCATATTTGGCATAGGTTTGTTTTACATGTCTAACTTAATTCACGTTGTCTTTCGTTTTCTAAGATGGCTACTGAATTAATTTTCCATGACCTCCAGCTGAAGTACTCAACATTGGTGAAGAGCTCTGGCAGAAAAAGTTGCCTGAGCATTTCCTTGCCCGATGCAACAGTTTTCAGAACTTGGGGTTCAAATCTTCAGGTTCAGGATTTGTCTGGAATTCACCAATGTGCTGATTCCCAACCAGCCAGGATCAGTGCTACAAAGCCGCCCCCTCCCTCTCCGAACAAGAAGTGGACATCTCAATAAGAAACCGAGCATGAAAACCTGGAGAGCTAGTAAGGGTTTCAGAAGGCTTTTTTCTTAGCTGACTGTTAGCAATTTTTTCCTTGGATATGGACTCAATGTGCAAGTATAGGATTTTCCAGTAGAGGGAGTCCATGTTGTTATAAAGGGAGAATGTCCCACTGTAATAAATGTACACCAATAAAGGAGAATATTTTCTCTCTTTTTTTCCATTAGGTATTAAATATTTTCAGTCCCCTGCTAAATATTGTTATTGTTATTATTGATAGTCCTGGGATGCAAATGGTATGATACAAGTTTGCTGCAGAACTGGCTTCTCAGGAAGTGGTCTAATTGGGAAGCAATGGACTGAACAAAACACAATGGTCACAAAAGCTTAGACCCCCAAATGAAGAATTTTACAGTGAAATAGTATCTTGTGAAAATTCTCCAAAAGAATATTCCTGTTTCCAGGAAGACAGCATACATTTTAACAAAAAAAGTAGTAGTAAGGATGAAGTCTATTGCAGAGTATCAAGAGGACAGAACTGAACATAATCTCCAAGGGCAACTCCTGTAACACTTCAGCCTGCAGGAACTATCAAGCACAGAGGAAGGTTTTTAACCACTCAGAGGGTAAAAATGTAACTAAATAGACATCAAAGAGCATGTTTAATTACATAGAAAACAATTTAGAAGTAGAGACTTGAATACAAGAAACAGCCACTTTTAATCTGCTTCTCAATACCATGGCAAGATTATGTTTGTGCCATCCCAGTAATGGTAGAGTTCCACCACCCTCAGGTGGGAGCTCCTCTGCTATTCACGTGGATCCTGAGAGATACACTGCCTGCAAGGGATATCTACTCTAGAAGTTCAAAGACTTTTTCATTTATTTCTTCCACCTGTGAGGCATCCTAAAGGAAAAAAAACAGTGATAACAGCCACGTTTTTTCCACTGGACCAGATGGTGGCTGTGTACACCTCCTGGCCCCTGCTCATTCAGCCCACCCTCTTATCTCTTCCCTCAGACCAGCTTGAAGAGACACCTCAACAAGGCCCACAGGAACTGTAACAGGCAATCCCATGGGGGAAGGAAGAAAAGCCTATTTGGGAGGAAAGGGTAAAACCCAGCGGAGAGGTCCTCTTTGAATGCAAATCTGTGAGATTAGCTTCTCCTCCAAGGCTGAGCTTACAGCCAACTAGATGTATCTATCTACGAACATACAATGAATATGAGCATCCCTGTTTAGATTATGTTGAGCATCCACAACTAAAAACATAAGCTCAACTGTCATCCATAAAGAAAAAAAAATAAGCTTAACATAATCAAATGTTAAAAAGTAGAAAAACCAGGACACTAAATCAGTGAAGAGTTTCAGCTGCAAAGTAAAACAAAACCCCAAAATACATTTTTGTGCAAGAAAGTCAAAACATATTAATAATCAAGCATTTGGGTTTTGAAATATTCTGGTTTAGTATGTAGGTACAGTCAACTTCAGAAGAAAAAAAGACTGAAGAAAAGAAATTTTGTTTAAGATTATAACAGCCATTTCATATGATCCAAGACAAAAATGGATTTCCATTTTGTAAGTAAACTAAATCCTTCTCATTGAGCTCTTCTCTTAGGTCACTACAGTCCTTTTAAAGATCTCATACATAAAGAATACATTCATTTTTCTGAAATACAGATTTTTTTTTGTATTGGAAAATATACTTACTTTAACATTTGCTGTTGGGCAAGGACATATTCTGAACAACCACTTCGATACAGAAGTTGAGTGTTAGCTTGAACCCAGACCCAGTGATCTTCATTTGTTTGTACTTTGACTAGAGAAATGCCATTTTCTCCATTATTCTTTGCTATACAATTTAAAAGAAAATCTATTTTAATACAAGCAGTATTTAGTATTTTTTCTTACCTCAACTATGGGTTAATGTTCACAGGTTTGTTTGCTGCCCTGGAATCATCAGCATAGGAAAGTACAAGCTAAAATATGTCACAAAACTAGGCAAACTACATTTAAAAAATAAAATTTGAAAAACCTCATGAGGCACTTAAACTGTAACCAAGGATTTTTCAGTATTATTAGTTCATTATAATTTTTCCCTCTCAGTAATAGTAATATTACAACAAAAAATGTTCATGAAAAATGGGGCTATGGCAGAGGAATGGTTTTAAAGAAGTTAAAGGTTTCCATCAGGTATGACAGAAGGCTGACTACAACTCTACTCAAGAAGAAGTTGCCCATTGGGGTAGACTCACCATCAAAATTTTATCCACTGTAAAATCTGAAATACAGCATAGACTCTCATAACATTGCCACAGCCAAACACTAGAAAAGCATGAGTCAAAGCTGCAAGCAAATCATGAGTTTTAAAGACAATACATTCTAATTTTTCTCTGTTTTCTGATCTTTAGGGAAAACTAGCATTTGTAACATATCATCCACTTTTCCTCAAAGAGGGATAGATACTGTCATTAATTGTTAAGATTTTCACATAATCTTATTAAGTTCAGTGCTGCCTTTTTTAGGAAAGCATACGTTGAGCGTTCTTATCTACTATGATTATTTATATATCTGTAAACTTGGCATCACAGTATTTCTGCCCACTCCGAAATAGCAGACTGATAGTACTATCTTTTAAGGCAGAAATTTTTTTGGCATTTTTTTAAAGAAGGGGGTTTAGAGAGAAGAAAAAGGAGAGCATTGGGACCAAAACGTGAAAAACCTAACAGAAAGAAGAGACAAGGTTCTCTCTCCATAAACTGTATATAATCCAGAAGTACTTAGCAGACACACCTTTGATTTGGTTTTCAGCAATCTGTAACACATTAGTGAAAGCGGCACCTTCATGATGACTGTTTCTTCCATATAATTCTGCTGCTTCACACAGCCCTGAATTACCTTTGGAACTGGAGCTATAGAGGACAGAAAATGTGGAAAATTCCTTGTCAGTGAATCAGTAAAATCACAAACTCTGAAAGATGTGATCTTCAAGTTGACCATTAGCAAATACTTATGGTTTAAATATATAGTAACCAACACTAAATAATTATCTACGTTTCCCGCGTCATTCAGCTGCTCAAACTAGTGTATGACTGGAATTCTGCATTCAATTAAGAGGAATAGTTATGTTTAGGAATATTCTGCTCACAACTCACTATATCTGCAATAATAAGTTTCAGCTTGAATCGAGACAAATGCTGTGTATATTCTGCTCTGCCTATTCAAGGTACATTCAAGGTATGTTCAAGGTACGTACTGACCAGCAATGCACTTAAGAGTTAGCATGACTTCAGTTTGCAATAATCATTACATGATTTGAATGAATTTTTTCCAGTCTTTAGTTCAAAATGCATGTTAGGGCTTGGAAAGAGTAACGCTGCTTTACAAAGTTTTCCCTTTATTAAGACCATCAGAAAAAAAATTACTATATAAATTTGCCCACCATTCCTGGTTAGTATGCTTCAGGCCTGAACCAAAGGAAACACTGAAGTTAAATGCCCACTTCATTCTTGTCAAATCCTTGGCCACTCTCCAGTCAGTTAGTAAAACTTAAGTAAAACACCTCTCTTCTAGGAGCTGAATTCTGATCATCAATTAATTTCACCTGGGCCACTGAAAAACTAACATATGGAAATGACTTCCCAACTCTGTTCCAAAAGCCTGCATAGTCCATTACATCAGCCTTCCAGTAATTTAATTCTTGTCAAAAGGATGTATGTGCTAGAACCACATTACATGTCTGGATAGGAACATATACACAAGCATATTCTAATTAAAAGCCGAATTATGATGCTGTCAGTCACACTGAGGAGCATTTTGCTTCACAGCAATGGACCTCATTGCTGTAAGGTTATATTTAACCAAATAAGGGAAAATATAATCCTAGCCCCAAACATCAACTAAAATTCAATCATAGAAGAGTAAGGAAAATAAGTGTTAGGAAGGAAATGAGTCTCAACACAATCTGTCCTGATCTTCTGTGATTGCTGCCAAGTGATCAGCCCCAGGCCATTTAGTGCAATTGTAGACTTATGTGTTCATAAGCCTTCTGTTGTAAGATAAATGCATACACCAAATACATCTCATTTGACTCTACGTGAACACTCCCACATACACATTCAGCTTTCTGAAGTTTTCCTTTTCCTTTGTTTGCTACAAAAATGCCCAAATCCAAATAATTGTGCTACCAGAAGATACCAAAATCTGAAAATTGTCAGTAAAAATACTTTTTCTTTTCTACTTTTACAATTAGCAGAATGACTTATTGCGTTGGTAATTTCTGAAGGTTAGGAAGATATCCTAACTTTCCAGTTTTTATATAAAATTATATATATGGAAATATAATACTTAATATATGTTACATATAAAGTACAATATATTATATTATAACATAGTTATTATGTATTACATAGTTAAATCCAGATAAATTACTCACTTTTATAAGAAAGAGTTTTAAAATGGAGAGTTATTTAGCCTCATTTGTGCTTTTTACATACTTAATAAACATAAAGCCCATAGTATATTTTACTAACTGCTAAAAGATTAATTTGAAAATACTTTGTATTCACTGCTGCTGCATCATCAGCTTTGTGTTTTGCTTTCACAAGCAGGCTTTTCATCTTCATCTCTGTCATGGAAGGGAGCAGAAGTGGTACCACTATGCAGAATAAGGACAGCTGAGGTGGCAATACTGTTCCTGATGAGGACTTCTTCCTTTGTCCAAAAAGAAACTTTAGTTTGCCTTGGAACTGCATTGTCTGTTATACAAAAAAAATAGAATTATCTTAAGCATTTAGTGTACAAACATTTAAAATGCTAATACAACCTATGGACCGTGTTGTTTAACACCAAAACCAGTTTTGAAACAGAGAGAAAAAATAGGAATTTCATTATCTTCATACAATTTAAACCATGCCATTGCAGAGGCATGGTGCGTGGATGTACTATCAACAGTAAAATGAGACATTTGAGGCTGGTTTTAGGTTTTTTCTTTCCTGCGTACTTAAAGTAGAAGTTCTGATTATGTTCTGTTCACCAAGATGGGCAGCGTATGGTGGTGCAAACAGCTCTTTCCTCTGTGCCTCACTCTGTAGCTGAAACTATTATTTTTCCATGCTCTGTTCTCTCCAGTGAGATGGTTCCTGAGTTTCTTTCCTCTTGCCCTGCACTTTCTCTGGGAAGTACGTGGACTGGCACAACCCAAGGGCTGTGCAGGCAGATGCCAAGGGAAAAGATGTGTCCAAGATAGCCAGATACAAAGTACATAGCTTGGAAGAAACCATCCATCCCTGCCTCAAATCTCCATATAATCGGAAGGCAGAGATCAAGTTAATAGCAAGCTGCTGCCTCTCGGTGAAAAAATTACCTACCACAAAATGACCAGAGAAAAATCCATTTCAGTTGGGCATCTTCCAGAGCTACAAGATTAAAACAGGGATGCAGAAATGACTAACTGGTATGGCTGTTCAGACCCATAGTCTTCCAGCAAATGAGCATCTGAGACAGAAGTTGTATTTCCCTGTCTCATGCTGATCCTCTCATTTTCTTTGCACGTGCCATACTTTGTCATAAGAAGAAACAGCACTGGTCTTTACTAAGCAAATGGGGAAGTGATTTCTAGAAATGAGCCACTCCCAGTAAGGATATCTGAGGAGCGTGTGAGAGACTTTCTAATTCCTGTTTTTATTATTAAAGGACCCTTTACAAAAGGGGAAAATGGACCATTATTATTCCTGTTCCTTAAAGCAAATACTTCATGCTTAAATGTTAAGGAGGGTAATTGTCGTGGGGGATTCCC